GAGAATCAAAAGTGTATTCTGATGCAAATTCTCCTCCAGTTGTGAGCCTGTGAAATGAACAGCGGGATGTGCTTCCCTAAACCATGTACAGAATACACTTCACAATGAAAGTAGCTATTATGTACCACACACAAGTACTATTAAATATATACAGTGGAGGATCAGGTTAATTCCAAAAGGGAAAAACACAAGAGATAATATGTCTCACCAAATCAAAATCCAAAAGGGCAAACATTAACTTGTAAGGCTCCAGGACAGTCTTTTCTGACTGTTGCCCAGTCCTCCTGACACTCTGTGCTGGGAATTGGAACCCTAAGGCCCTGGTCAGCCCCATTTCTATGGTTTTGGTGACAGCCTATGCAGAAGTTTTCGAGAGCTGGAGTTGCTGACCAATGGCTCTTCTAGAGACCACAGGGCAGCTCCAACCCTGAAGGTTCTACCAACACATTGCCCAAGTAGGGGCTCTCAGTAGTGGCTCACCAATGTGGCTGTTCTGAGTGGGCACCAGAGCTCTCCAGGGCATCCCTGAAAATCTATATGGAGGCAGAGATCAACAGTCATCTGCCCACCCTCTTGACACACTGCCCTGGAGGAGACAACACAAACAACACCAGACTTCAAAATTAATGCTTCCAGAGGGGTAGCTGTTGTGTCCTGCCACACAACAGTCCACAGAAACCATAGCTGGAGTGGTAAGAGTGCTGCACAGTAAAGTAGGGAGTAAAGCCTTGAAATCACTCTGTATTCAAGGCCCAGTATTCAGCCTCTGTCAGGGACAGGGAAGTCTGAAGATCTGACATGCCTTTGGGGTAATTCTTAAGGAATAAGGCAGCCTGCCCCCCACCACACTAATCTCCTTATCCAAAGTTCAACAAGCCCCACCTGGGCATTCTCTTCTGGGCATACACATTTTTTACAACATGGGTATGCTGAGAGTCTTCCAAACCTTTAAGTTCCCTTTCATTTTTAAATTCTGTAATTAACGTGTTTCTTATCTGTCATTTTATAATAAGTGCTTCAAAAAAGCCACGTGTGTCACCGATCATAAATCCAGCCTTCCATAAAGCAGTCACAAACACAATTCATCCATTTTCTGTCATGTAACAAGTATTGTCTTTCTTTTAGTTTCCAACAACTTATTCCTCATTTCCATCTGCTGCCAGAATGGTCTTTACGGTATATATATATATATATATATATATATATGCATATATGCACATACATATACACACACACATATATATATTTTTTGTTGTTGTTGTTTTGTTTTGTTTTGCTTTGTGTTGTTTTACCATCAGGGATGGAACTCACGGCCCAGTATAGTCAGTATTTCTACCAACATTTTGTTCACTACAATTCAGGTGATCTCCTAGAAAACAAGCCTCTTCTACTGCCCTCATCTCACCTATAGGTCATTTTCCATCTTCACTAATTCAGGCTGCTACAACAAAATACACTCCATAATTTATAAATGACGGACATTTATTGGTCACAGCTCTAGGGTCTAGAAGCCTAAGATCAAGGTGGTAGCAGACTCAGTGTGGCTGCGGTCAAACGATTCTCTCAAATCTTTCATAAGGGCACTATTCCTTAAGGCCCTCCTAAAGGTCCTATTTCTTAATGTTCTTCATTTCTTTTTATTCTTGATGCTTACCATAATACCACCAAAAGTGACAAAGTAGGCCTTGTAAGCTGGAAATTTCAGAAGAAACAGTGGATGTGGGATTATAGGAAAGTAAAAAGCTAAACTGACTTGGAAGGTACGTAGAGAAACTTTCCATGATGATAGCAATGTCCTGTTATCTTGAGAGAAGTACAACTAATACAGATGTATGACTTTATCCCAACTAAAGGAGTGGTATACATAAGACTTGTACATTTTATAGTGCATAAATTTTACCTAAAAACCAAGTAGTTAAAAGTTAATGTCAGGCATGCTCGAATGTGTAGGTATTAAGTACACTTATTTTGAAATAGAAAATCGTAAGATTGATGCATGCATAGAAGGATAAACAGTTGATAAAGCAAACATATAAAATGTGAATTAGAGTCTAGAAAACAGATATTTAGGTATTCAGTGGACAAATATTTCTTGCAATGATTAAAATTTTTTACTGTAAAATGTAAGAGAAAGCAAAGCCTAAAAATGAAGCCTCTGAGTTATTCTTATACTGTATTTTCCAAGCTCACAAAGTGATTCGCATCAAAGGAAAAACTGTGTGTAATAGTAGTGTTGTCACTATGTTCATTTGGTATTTCGTTTCACAATTATACTTAAATAGTGCTAGGAGCAGGAAATGTACAAGCTAGGTTTCTAAAGTTGAATACCATATTTAAGAGGATCTGGTCTTCTCTGCAGAGAATTAAAAGACAGAAAGACTGGGGGTGGGGATGTGGTTCAACGATAGAGCTCTTGCCATACATGCACAATGCCCTGGGCTCATATCCCAGCACCACCACCAAAGAGAGAGAGAGACAGACAGACAGACAGAGAGAGAGAGAGAGAGAGAGAGAGAGAGAGAGAGAGAAATGAAAGGGTAATACATTCTTTTAACTAACTCCCCAAAATGCATTCCTACATTTTAATTACCAACAAATGCTCTCCTGGATAACACAGCATATTCACGATTCAAAATACCATGAGCACAAGTATTAGGGGAGAAAGCAAATTAGGCAAAGAACTGACAAACATTTAGGGTCAAGCATGGTGGCACAGATCTGCAATCCCAGCACTCAGGCTGAGGGACAAGAATCACTCCAACTTTGAGGTCAGTCTGGGCTTACACAGTGAGTTCAAGGCCAGCCTGAAGTACACAGTAAGACCCTGTCTCAAACAAACAAATAAAAAATGGAAGAAGAGAACTGACAGGAATTTAATTTCCATATGGTCTAAACACAATTGAACTCATCTGTTCTCTTCTGTTGTTGCTCCCAGAGGACTGCAGAGTATGCACCTGCTGAATTTGGCTTTGTCACATCTGACCTCAGGAGGCCGGCATTTATAATAAAAAGGGGCTTCCCTAGTGTCTGGTTCTAAACAGCTGCAGATTTACTGTATTCTCTCACTAACAAATACTGAAACAAGTCAGAATATCAGAGTTGCAGAAATTGAACTAGCTGAATATAAGTTTAGAAAATAAAGTAGAAAGTGTTTAGAAGAATTTATAGTCTAATAAGCCCAAACGTCAAATAAATTTTCATAAAACCATGTAAGAAGCAAAAGCTGCCTCCCAGACCCACAATTGTAAAACATGGGTGAAAATTATCCTGCCAAAAGTAGAAACTGATTATAAAATGTTTCATAAGACTTACGGCTTGTTACACAATGATACATATAAATAAGAATTGTTTATAATTGTCAGTTTTTCAGTCTCTTCAGAATACACAATTATTCCCCACCTATTAACTAAGAAATAATAAAAGCTTCATAATTGCTAAGCAAAATAAAGAAATGTACCGCTAAAGTGCAGCTATTTTATGATCATCATCTGTAGATTTAATTCACATTTAGGTTGCCTTCCACCTCTTCCCATTTATACCAGCACACTTTCACCTACACAGAGCTACACAACCTCTCTGCATAGGTGAGTAGGTTTCCCTTTTGTGAATCTCCTTCAATTTCATTAGATAACACAACTCACCATCCTTTCATCTTAAACGGGAGGTTAACATCCTCCACAATCTAGTTTCATGTTATGTGTTTACCAGTCTTTTATGCGCCTCAGGCTCAATTTTGTTGTTTGTTTTGTTTGCTTGTGACAGGGTCTCACTAAGGCTTCAGGCTAGTCCTGAGCTCACTATGTACTCCATGGTGGCTTCAAACTCACAGCAGTTCTCCTGCCTCAGCCTCCTGAGTGCTGGGGTTACTACAGGTGTGTGCCACCACACCTGGCTTCAAGGGCTCAAATTTTATGTTTAGGCCTTCACTCAATGTTGTCATCATACAGTTTCTAAAACAGGAAAAAAAAAAAATCCAGACCAAACAATTTTCAGTAATACATATAAAACTGTGAATTCCCGAGATTAGAAAATCGTGTCTTGGGAACTTCCAATCAAATCCGGTACTAAGAGGCTTGAACACAACTCAGAGGCAGAATGCATGCATGCATACCCTCCTCGAATCCAACAGTATTCAACAGGGTATTTTTGCTTTGACTGCTTGCATTAAATGGTACAGTAGGATTTCCATCTGATATTTTTTTATTGAAAACCTTTAAGGAGCAAATAGAAAGCAGGAAATGTTGGAAGAAAAAAAGGTTAAAAAAAAAGATTTCAAGGCAAAGTCAGTGAGGAAGGATTGAGGACCCCTACACAAGCTTCTCACTTAAGACACTAACTGTAATCATTCTTCAGTTTTAAGCCAGTTAGCTTTTGGACTAGAATCTACTTACATGATTCTGAAAAGAGAAAAAGTTACCAAAGTATCAATATGCTAGAATAGTGTGCTCCCTTCGGTAGCATATATACTAAAATATGCTGGAATATCAAGGTCAATATGGCAGAATAACTCGATTCTGTTTCTTTTATCTCTTTTGGAAAGTTTGCAAGAAAAATAACATAGAAAAATCTCCTGTTTAAATGAAAACTTATAATTTCACATTCAAAACCACTGCTGACAGAATTTTAGTTACCCGTCGAGACATGCAGTCCTGAGATATGTTGTTATATCGTTACAGCCTAGATAGAATTAGTAAGAAAGCAACGAAAACGTTGTTGAGTTATAGCCATAGAAAACCTTCAATTATTCCCTGCAGCATAGGGGAAGGTCGTTATTTTTAACAAGGAAAATTCAAACTTAATCTTTTTTACGATTCAAAAAGTTTATCTGAGATCTGATCTCTGACCTGGTAATTCCCTAACAAAAACACTAACAAGCAAGTATCGGGCCCAAATAACCAGCAAATTAAATTATCACACGAGTGGTTTTTTGTTTTTTTTTCAGCAATTCCAGCCACAAACCATCAAACTATGAGTTCAGCTTTTGAAAGGTGCTTACTTACCAATCGCCGAACTCCCAACCTTTTACCTTGACTCAGTCTCCTAACTCAAGAGTGTCTTCAATCGCAGTCCCAACACTTGTTTGGAACCTAATACGTGACCCACTGTTCCACAACTGTAAACAGCTGACAGCTTGCAACTCAGAAGCCTGGTGGGCGCCCCGGGCTTCTCAGCCTCAGTCCTCCGGAGCCCTGCCCGCGCCCGTCATGGCGTCACGGCGCCCCGGAGCCCTGATGTCAGGGCGCGTGGACTCCCGGCATGTGACCTCACGTCGGCCCGCAGACCAGGGCGCGCCCGAGCCGCCGCCCGCGGCCGTGGGTGAGGGCCGGGCGCCCGCTCACTAATGCGGGACGCAAGGGCACAGAGGCCAGGAAGTGCGCCCCGCCGAGCCCTCCCTCCTCTCTACGCGGCCCGTCAGCCACTGGGTACCGGAGGAAGGGGCGCTTCGGTGGCCCTGCGCCCGCGCCGCACGGTCAGACCCACCTGCGCTTCGGTCCCGGCCAGGGCCTGTCCCAGGGTTGCTCCAGCCCGACGCAGCGGGGGTGGCCAGCCTGCCTCGCGCCCCGCGGGAGTAGCGGACGGAGCGACGAGAGCGCGGCGCGACTGGGCCCAGCGCTCGCCCCAAACCATTTGTTTGGCTCCAGCGGAGTGACGTCACGCGCCGGGCGCAGCGACGGTTGGCCGCGGGCGGGGCCGTAGCCCATCAGAGCAAGACAGGGGGCGGGGCGGGGGCAGCACTGGGGGGCGGGAGGGCGCGGATCTCCGCGGCGGGAAGGGGGCGGAGCTCCGCGCCTGGGAGGGGTTAGGGCAGGGAATTTAGGCTGGTGGCTGAACAGCGGTGTGATTGCAACATAGTGTGACTGAATGTGAGGTTTCTACAGGAAAACAGGTCGCCCATCGTCTCTGCCTAAATCGTTTCCAGAGTGTCTTCAGCAGTGCTGTCCTGGCTACCTTGCTGTCCTCAGTGGGGTCAAAGCGTTTGGGTTTAGTAGTCATTCTGCCCAGGGAAGAGCAAGACTGGTGGGGTCTGAAGCGCAAGCGAAGCGGCGTGGACAAGCAGGAATGTTTTCGGAGCGTGCGACCCGGCTGGCCTCTGCAGCTGTACGCACTGCTTAAGATCAGAGAACTTGAGAGCCACTTCAAAAAATAGCCAAAACTGTAGGAAAGTGTGTTCCAAGCAAGGGGGTATATTTCAAAATTTTGGCAGTGTCTCTTTTTTAAAAGTACGTGTTTGCATTCCTTTTGTGCAATATATATTTTTGTGGAATATATATGTTGTGTGTTCATGTACAACACACATTTTAATTCCTTTTTTCATCTCTTTTCCCTCATTGCCTTTCTCTTCAGCAACTTCCCTTCCCTCCATCAGCTTCCCTTGGGAGAATTCCTTTTGCCATTCTTTTATATCCAAATGACTGCAGGAGTATCTGTCAGATAGTGGATAAACTTTAAGATTGACAGTCACAAACCGTTAGTTTGTAGAAGCTTAGGGTTTTTAATGACAAATGTAAAATAAGCTTAATACTTTATATCAGAGGGCCAAAGAACCTTTTATCTTCAGCTTTTTTTTTTTTTTTTTTGTCTTTTAATGGGTACCGGGGATCGAATTCACAACTGCCTGCTTCCAAGGCAGGCGTTATGCTGCTGAGCTAAATCCCCAGCCCCTATCCTCAGCTTTTAAAATCACCAAAGCTGAAGCAGGATTGAGGGGAAAACTTGTTTGTAATCCCAGAACTCAGGAGGCTGAAGCAGAAGGATCACAGCAAGTTTGAGGCTCGCCTGGGCTATATAGTGAGTTCAAGACCAGGCCAAACTGCACTGTGAGATGCTGTCTCAAAAGTAAATAAAAAATAAAATTCACCAATGCTGTCATTTTAAAAGCAATTTTAACCAATTAAATGTCCAGATGAGCTGGGCATGGTGGTGCACTCCAGTAATCTAAGCACTCAGGAAGCTGAGGCAGGAGGATTATTGTGAGTTTGAGATCAGCCTGGGCTACAGAGTGAGCCCAAGTCCAGCCTGAACTACATAACAAGATCTTGTCTCAAAAAGACAAAAAAAAAAAAAAAAAAAAAGACAATAAATCCATTTCCCTAACATAGCTACCCTTTGTACTTGCTGTTTTTCTTACCTCCTCCATGCATAATTATTTTATGTTGTAGTGTGTTCACAATTTTTATACTGTTTCTATACTTTCATAAGCATGTTTTGTATTCATACGCTTCATAATGAACAGCTGCAAAACTACCGAAGTAGACTATAAAATTTAATGAACTAATTTCCTTTTCATGAATGTAACTACCTTCTTTCTCTTCTTTTCATCATAAGTGAGGGCTGGGTTTGAGCTCAGTGGTAGAATGCATGCTTAGCATGTATAAGATCCTGAGTTCAGTCCCTGGTACAGAAAGGAGAAGGAGGGTTGGAAGGAAGAAAGGCAACTTTGATTTTAGCTAGCTCTTAAAAAAAAAACAGGTTTGGTACAAGCTCCAGAGGCATAGATGTCCATAGCAAACTTGCCACTTGGGTCTGTTGGAGGTTTCAGTGTCCAAAGAACTGCTAACAAGAGCAGAAAGAAGAGATGGAGTCAAATTTCAGACCACATTCAAATCTTTTTCCCACAGATAGCCTAGCCCAGGGAAAAACTAGGAAAAGAAATTGAAATTGCTCCCTCTGGTCATCTGAATATTGAAAATACTTCTAGTGTTATCAGATACCCTTTTCTAAAAGTGGCTTGCCAATTAAATGTTACTGGGCTTTGGGTTGCCTGTCCCTCCTGAATTTGGGTTCCAGGGTCTTCTCGTCTTGAACAAAGATTTGAACAAAAATAAAAAGCAGTGCCAAATTTATTTGAGAAAGTAAAAATTAAGAGTGAGGGACAGACTGGCTCTGCTAAGGCAGCTTGCACTGAGTAAAAGAAGAAAAAGCAGTAAGAGGACACAGTGGAGAAAGTGGGGTGGGCTACCATGAAGAAAGTTGCAATAGCGAAGTCTTTGTGGTATCTGTGTCCTTTATACTATCCAAATCTCAAGAAAGCCCACAGAAACATCTACATATGGGTCCTAAGAAGTGCTGGGATCCCACACCTCTGGCTGATGTCAGGTCTGCCATGGCCTGCATGGCTGTCCAACTTCCCAGGGTAATGACCATGAAGGGTGGAAAGAAGGTGAAGAAATAAAGACAAGACACAGAAAGCTGAAATCAGATGGAGCCCTCTCTCCTGATGGGAGGAAACGAACTGCTTAACCAATGCAATGTTTATTTACACATTTAGGAAGTTGTCATGCGGCACTTTGTTGCCTAGCAATCTGCATGCGTGGCAACTTGATGAGTTGGTGTTCTCTGGACTGGAGCAGCTTGTTGGATTGCCTTGGGTACTCTGTTCTCAGGACCAGCCTTGTTCCAGCACTGCACATTGGATTAATCTCTATCTTCAGCCACTTCCAACATCTCTGCCTTTTCTGTTTTTGTAGTTGCAGTCAATGGGTGTTTAAATGAAGTTGGAGGAGTTGTATTTGCAGATACATCCTTTTACACTTTATTATGCTTACTTATTAAATAGTTCTCTTTCTGTATTTCAATAGTTTATTGTTTCTATAATGCAACTGTAAATATGAGGTGGTTTAAGAAGCACCCCTTTAACTTCATGAATGAAAATTTATTTTAAAAACTAATTAAAAGTGAGACAAAGAGTTATTTTTTTCCAAGAATATTTGCAGTGAATTGCGTATCATTGAATGGTCTATGTGAAATGCATGTTTTAAAAATTTCTTTTAATTTTGGGTTTTATTGTTATTATTACTATTTCTGAGGTTATAAACAAAAAACACATTAGCTGTACAGAATAATCAGAAAGTCTAATAATTAGAAATCAACAAAAGTGAGGGTGAATAGAAAGTGAAAATATAAATAAATTGCATTGTTTTAAATCTGTAGCTAGAGGCTTTGACACAACTAACAATCTAAATTATTATAACATTCCAGAGCATGTCAGAAATGTAAAATACATTTAGAAATGCAGAGCTGTGGAATATAGTGGACACAAAGCATACTAGAGCCGTGAAAGTCAGTGTAGGTTATATTCTAATCAGCCCTTATGCTCCAGAGCTGGCCATTAATATGTACATAAATGTATCGCTCACCTTTTAAAAATATGCAACATTATTTTTAAGCTTTTTAAAATTGTGTCTTGCTAGCATTGAAGTGCTTTTCACCAAAATTTCTACTAAAACTTCCATTAAATATGAAAAATGATAAAAACACATGGCTCGTGAACATTTAGTAATAATGTAATATAAGAATGAGTATTTTAAGGAACAAATCAGCAAGTCTAAATAATCACTTCCCTAATTCCCCTTTGTAAAATAGATGAAAATATTCATTGATTCCTCTACTATGTCCTTTATTTAATAAACCCCATCTCTCTCCTCTGACAAAACTCACTGTTCTTTCATTGGTGTGTGCACTTGGGAATTCAATAGAATCAATGTGAACAGCTATCATAGACACTGACAGGAATCATAAAAAAAGCTACTCACTGGTTACACGTATAAGAGCTCACTCAGGACATCAACGAGTATAGCATTCTCGTGGGACTCAGTTCATCAACAATGAGGGAAAGAGCAGTGCAGCGATGAGTAGCCCTCCTGCGAAACTCAAGAGAGTCAAAGGCTCTGTTTCCTGCTGAATCCATGGAATTAGGGTAGCAAATATAGAGGAAAATCAAGAGAACTGTAAGGGTTACAGGATAATACAAAAGATGGGAGAAATGAATAATAGTTACTTAAAACAGAGACATTCAAAATATTCTTTTTCCTTTCAGATAAGATGCAACTCTTGAGGTGAAAGAGAGGGCAGATCAGTGACTTTAGATGCTGATATTGAGACTGATGAAAGATGATAAAGATAGTCTGTGATCTAGAATGTAAATTCTAGCAAAAGGACAGGGCAGTGAACAGGTAAACCAGAGGAAGAGAGAATAAATAATACTGATGTGTGTTTCTCAGGTGAGTGCCTGGGATTAGTAGTCCTCATGCCCTGCTGAGTGAGAGCTGGCACTGGATTTTAGCAATCACCAATTTACATTAATCTCTGAGCCCTACTGGTGTAGAGAGACAATGCCTTGCTCAAAGAACTTTTGCTCCTTTCAAAAGGATAAAAATAATATCTGGAAGCATTAAAAGTCAGCCAGGAGAACATGACTCAGTGTCTTGTATCTGATTTTTGTGATGTGTATGAGAGGATTTTCAAGACAACTTCAGAAGGCTTCAGAGGAAGCTTGTTTTCTGAAGAAAATTACCCTTTTCCCTTCTAGTTATGTTGTATATCAATTTTTACAGCAACTTCATTTGTAAAAATAAAGCCCAACAAAGACTGCCTTGTGAAATACCTCCAAACTGGAAAGGACCATGTATATATAAATAATGAATGAATAAATAGAATAATACAGAAGA